TTCTCTATTTCCTCCAATAATAGAGTCTTCTTTATTTTCTCATGTTTTGTTTTCTTTTATTAAACAATCATACAGCTTGCTGTGGGAAACGCTAACTGGAAGAGAACACTTACTTTTTTATGGAAGGCTTAAAAACCTTAAAGGTGCTGCCTTAATCCAAGTAAGGCTGCATTCCGTTCACTTCTGAAATCATCTTTTTATATTTTATCTTCATTTGGGAGCCATTGGTGCTTGTTGGAGGATTTTGTAGTTGGAGAGAGACACCCTTCCTCTCTGTATGTCACCGAAACTTTTCAATTTTGGAATAGATGAGTATAAAATGTTGATGTACAAAGATAGGAGCTAAAATTTGCTGTTATAAAACTCAGATTTTTTTAGTAACATTAAAAAGGCAGTCCTGCACGAGGCTCCTGATTCCTGCCACTGCAAGGTCTGAGGAAGTCCTAATGCATGCAGCCTTACCCCCACATGAGAAGAGACTGTTTTTACGATTCAAACTTTTGACTCCAAAACCCTTGTTCATTCATATTATTTTTTCTAATAATATAAACTTATGAAGACTTGGTGACCTTAAGTTGCTGAGTATGAGGTAGAACTGAGAGAACAAGGAACATAAAGGACGTCCATGTTGAGATATGTATATTTGCTGGTTCCCATCCTTCCTTAGCAAAGTGAGCAATGCTTTTGTTTGTTGGTCATCTCGAACAAGAAATGTTTTTAATTATTGTTCCCTCTATCTCTTGCTGCAGGCAGTGGAAGAATCTCTGAAGGGTGTCAATCTATTTTATGGTGGTGTTGCCGACAAACAAGCTGGGAAATACAGTGGAGGAATGAAAAGGAGGCTTAGTGTCGCTATCTCATTAATTGGGGATCCCAAAGTATGTCTATATCTTCATACACTCACCCTGCTTCTAAACATTCTTGAATACCTACATATATGCGTACGTATTCATATGCTTGTATATATACTCTTGACATAGTTGCAATTGGTATTTTTGAAAATTATGCAAGGTTGTCTATATGGATGAGCCCAGCACTGGATTGGATCCAGCTTCAAGAAATAGTTTATGGAATGTCGTGAAGCGTGCAAAGCAAAACAGAGCAATTATTCTCACCAGTAATCTCTCTTTCTAGATATATTTACATACACAAACACCTTTACTACTGGTGACCTTCATCACCTTAAAGTTTTTTGTCTCTGTCTTGTAATTGTACATATTTTCAGCCATAGGTATAGTTTTGCAACTTAAGTTGTTAGATAAGAGATCATAGGGATTATTTTCCTCGTCATTTCACTTATGTAGCATACCAAAATGGTTTCAGCACATTCAATGGAAGAGGCAGAGCATCTATGTGATCGATTAGGAATTTTCGTGGATGGAAGCTTGCAATGTATAGGAAATCCAAAAGAGGTATTTTGAGAATTTTCTTTTTCCAGATTTATGCTCTAGGCATGCCGTTTTAGTTGACACGTATCCTTCAATACATGGGATATAATGTTGGTGCATCTTTCTTATTGAGATGGACAACAGAAACAAAGCTCAATCATATTTCTCATAAAACGCCCTTCTCTGGATGAAATTTTCTATGTGGAGAAGTGGATGAGACTTAGTTCCATTTGAACCCCTAATTAGTTCCATTTGAACCCCTAATCATATGAATGGAGCCCAACTTGCATGCTCGTTTTGCTATATAGGAAGCACCAACATGCTAGCTGCTGCTTAAAGTGCCAGGGGCTCAATACTATGACCATTCCTGTATTTCAAAAAAGTTGAAAAAATTCTTCTAAATATGTGAATTTCTTACAAGTGCATATTACCTTAAAGTTCACTGATAATTGTTCCAGAGTTCCAATGTATTCGATTTTGTATCTGCATTCAACCATGCACCCTTTGATGGCAGCAAGTAGCATTCTGCACTTCAATTTTTTTATATAAATATAATGCACATACGTCCTCCGTAATGCAGTGCCCACTAATTTCTATTTTCAGCACTAACATCCCAACCTTCCCATGATATTTTCATTACTCATTCCCAAATTTTGACTTATCAATAAAAGAAAAAATTTCCCGAATTTCAGCCACTATTTTTTTTGATGATATATATTTTTCCTCATAACTGTCTTGATAGTAGCCACTGTGATGAGTTGCTGACATACCACCAGCCTATCTATTACCAAAATTTAATCTACTTAAACCAAGTTTCACTGTAATTTTCTTTTGAGTCGGTATAGCCTGAATTGCCCTCATTAGATCGGTAGTTGACAAACAACCTGCATTTATATTCTTAACAGACTTGACGATGAATTTCTTCATTGAATGTGTGACAAATGGTTCTTTATATTGAATGCAGCTTAAGGGTAGATATGGAGGCTCATATGTATTTACAATGACAACGTCGGCAAATCATGAGGAGGAGGTGGAGAACTTGGTACGACGTCTCTCCCCAAATGCTAACAGAATATACCAAATATCCGGGACGCAGAAGTTTGAGCTGCCAAAAAATGAGGTCAGAATTGCAGAGGTTTTCCAAGCTGTTGAGAAGGCAAAGAGCAAGTTTACTGTTCAAGCGTGGGGTTTGGCGGACACAACTTTGGAGGATGTCTTTATCAAGGTCGCACGTAGTGCACAGGCATTCAACGTTCTCTCATGATTGTCACCAATCCTAGGTTTTTTGTTGTTGTTCTAATCCCTTAGTAATATTATTTTGTAAGGATCGACATTTTTGATAGTTTTGTACAATCATGGATTCATAGCTGTTTTAGATGTTGTGCACTTGTATTCTTTATATAATAAATAAAATATGTATCTTGTATTATAATATGAAATTTTCTTGTATACCCAGCATCCGAATATTTATTTTTTCTCAATTAATTTACTTAGAATCATGGTTTGGTTGATGGGGATCGTGTAGGAATTTGATAGATATTATAGATTAGTTATAAGAGTTGTTTACATATTTTTAATATTTATCTTTTAAGAAATTTCTTTTAACTTTTGAGAATTTATTTGTCATTATTTATTTGTTTTAGGGTTAGTTTTCTTATATAAAGGGATACATGTAAATGTTTTATTTAGATTAAACATTGATTATTATTGACTACTGATATTGTTTCCTTCTCAAATTCTCTCTCTTCTCCTCTACTTTTTCTTCTCTTCTCATCATTAATTCTTTCATTTCTTAGGCTACATCGATGACAAATACAACTATTCAATGGGACAAGACATCGATGACAAATGAGTAACAATAACGCCTTGGTGGTGAAAATAATTAAGTACCAACTCAAGTGAAATTTTGATAATAGGAATAAAATCAACAATTTCAAAAGGGAAAGACTTGGGAACAAAGTTAGATTGACTTGAAATAGGAGACACAAAACAATCACCAAAAGATTCTGAAATAGGTAACTCAATATGCTCAACATCTTTCATAAGTGTGGACTCGACAAACTTTTCAGCAAGTTCCATTACAAATGGTGAATCAACATTTGACTCCAACAAATGCTCAAACTCATTTTCTTTAGGAATTGAGTTTTGTTGGTACGAAGGAGGCAAAATCTGATCTATTGAGACCAAACAAGGGGATTGGTAGTCGATATAAGTATCATCTTTTTTTATATGTGAGAGCGTGTCATCCAAATTCATGGTCTCCCTGGAATTAGGAAAACATACATAAACAACATAAACATCATTCAAGTAATCATGATATTCATATGTGGTAGAGTTAAAAATGAAAGGTGTCATGTCACGCTGTTTAACAGATTGTGATTGAGAACCCATCAAATTATAGTTGGATTTCTTATGAAATCTCTCAACCTTTAGAGCATATAGATAGGCTGCAATTAACGAATTAAAAGTGTATAACTTGACCTCCCTATTAGTTTTTTGTTTCAACCCATGAATAAACTGATCAATTGTCCAAGGTTCTTCTACAATATCACACAAGTATGTGAGATAATTGAACTGGACAAAGTAATCAGAGACATTAGAAGAATGTTGTCTAAGATTGAATCATTGGTCATAAAATTGATTCATGTAGGAAGTAGGCAAATACTTATCTTTTAATTTATATCTCATTTTAACTCCAGTGATAAGTGATTCTCTTAAGCTGTCTAGGCTTCTTTGGATTGCTTGCCAATATCGTTCGGCGGAACCCTTCAACATCAATTTAGTAAAATGGACGCAATGAGAATCCGACATGCCATGCCAATCAAAATATTCTTTTAAATTAGTTAAACAATCCAAGAATTCAAAAGGATCTAAAGTGCCACTAAATATATAAGGATCTTTGACTAGTTTGGTATATGGATATACTCCATGTAAACATCCCTAAACTTCCTATGACGATGGTCTCGATGAGAGACTCTTGAAACATGTGCATTAGAAGAACTCAGGAGTGATTCTTGAAAGATGAGAATGGTATAAGAACAAATTCAAGAATGCAATTGACAATTTCAAGAAGTAAGAAAGTTTAAATATAAGAAAATGTGTTTTGGATCTTTTGTAAATTCTCTAATTTTTCAATGAATAAAAATATTAGTCTTAAATTCTATGAAAATGCATACCATAATCAAGAGAAAATTTTAAGCTTTTTGGGGATGATTCTGTAATTTTGGAACTTTTGGGGGAGGATTCTATAATATTTGAAACATCTTGGGCAGTTATGGAATTTTTGAAAACCTTTTGGGATTTGTCTGCAGTTTTTGAAATTTATGGGGTGATATTTATGCAATTTTTGGAGGATGTTTCTGTATTTTTAAAATTTTTGGCGGTATGTCTTTTTCTCCACGTCTCGTTGAAGCTGTTGTTCCCAAATAAAATCCTACCTTTCGCGACAATATTGCTTCAATTTTTTTTTTTTTTTTAAAATTTGGATAGTGAGATGTTGGTGGCGATGAACAGTGCTCGCGATGAATAGTGTTGATATGATTTTAATGATTTGTACGAATCAAAATTGGACTCTGATACCAAATTGAAATAGACTAAGAAGAGAAAAAATTAAAATGAGAAGGGAAGAAGAAGAGGATGAGAAAAGAGAGAAAATTTGAGGAGGAAACAATATCAATATTCAATACCAGTAATCAATAATAATAAAAGTCTAATCTAAATAAAACCTTTACATGCATCCCAAGGGATATCTTAATTGAAAATTGGCATATATTTTTTAAGAATAATGTATTCAATTAAAAAATTTCATAGTTTTTTTATATTTATACATAGAGAAAAAGAGAATTAAAAGAGATATTATGGAGTAATTTGGAGATTTAAATACATAAGAATATGATTGTAATTTAGATATTTAACAATGGAAAGATAGTATTTAAATTTTTTATAAGGGTAAAACAGTGAATCAAAATTTTTTCATTCAAGGTATTTTTATATATACACACACACTAAAGCCATAAAAAATACATTCTTGTACTTATTGACAAAAGAAAATATCAAAACTATACTTATTTCTTATTTTCACAATTTTAATTGAGATTTTTATTGGACTTAATTTTTATGAGTTTAAATTTTTTGTATAAACTATATTATCGATCTATAAATTTGAAGTTTCTTTTTTAGTTGGGGCCTAAAAGCCCATACTTTTATGACATTATATATGGACTAGTAAATTGAGTTTAAATAACACTACTAAAAAAAAAATATGTTGGTCTTATCTACCGCGCAAATATTGTGATTCTATCTTTTCAACATGAGTAATGCTACGTGTACAAAAAATATGCACTAAAACTTACACCAAAACACTTGTAGTCGTTAGATCAGTGAGTCTCTTCAGTGATCCAATAATTGCAGTTGATTTGGTGTAAATTTTGATATACAAATTTAGTGCACATAAAATTATCCTTTCAACATTTGGCTTGATTACAAAATCGTTAAAGTAGGGGAAGAGCTAGTCTATTTATAAATTTCAAATGTTAAAGAGACAGTCTTTGTACAAAATTCAAATCTCTCTCAATGCATATCCTTATCTTTAAGTATTCTCTCTAATCTGATCTTCATCTTTCTACATATAGCTAGCGGTGATCATTTATAACACTCATTGTAAAAATTATTTCATTCGGATTGACAATGGGCAAAGTACCTCTACTGTGTTATTTTCTTTTGATTGCTCTGTTGTTTGTGAACGTATCCAAAGCCGATGCCGATGAAGAAATAGGGGTGTATGAGCTGAAGAAGGGGGATTTCTCTGTCAAAATTACCAACTATGGTGCTACTGTTCTCTCTGTCATACTCCCAGATAGGAATGGTATGGCATTGTCACACATGTATACTTCTGTTTCTATGTGATTTGTTGTTACAGAATTCTTTACTTTCTACATATTAATTTGTTCTTCACTGTTTTTTTTTTTGGTCTTATTTCCAGGAAAATTAGATGATGTTGTTCTTGGGTATGAGTCAATTGAGGGGTACAAGGTCAGTTTTATAATTGTTTTCTTCTCTCTCTCATGACACAAAATAGCAACCGAATTATGAACTTATGTTAAAGAACGAGTGGTTATTGAGTTATCCATCGTGTCACACATGTTCTGATTTTGAGTTTCATTAGTCGTAAATCAAATCCCATCCCTCGTCTTCCATGAATAAACTATATCTCTAGTGTATATCTGAAATAAAGACCGGTAACAATACTTTTTATCTATCAAAATCAGTTATCTCAATATACAATACTTATAACAAGATAAAGTTTTAATAAGGAATCGGGACACCTAATTTTAAATCACAAGCTGATTTATAAGGTTAAACTTTTAGACGAGATAACATATTATCAAAGAAGTAGGAATGGCAAATCACTTGATCAATTATATTGCTTGTATACGCTTAATCCAAAATCTAACCCAAGCATTAGTAGAATAAGGAATTATTATACTATGATGTTTCACCTTCTCTAATGTTGAAGTGTCGAACGAGTCTTAGATTAGTTGGTGTTGAGGGGTTCTAGGTCATATAAGAAAGCGGGTCATTCCATCTACTAGGTAGTCTTTTAGACTGGAAACCCATGCCCAACAAGTGATATTAAAGCCATGGTTCAAGCCATTGTGTAGATTCAACTTCTTGTGTCGGATGTGAGAATAGTAATGATCATTTATTGTAAGTCATGTTCGAGAAGGGGATTATTGAGGTATCGAATGAGTCTTACATTGCTTGGTGATGAGAGAGTCCTGATCTTTATAAGAAAGCGAATAACTTCACCTACTAGGTGTATCTTTTGGACCGAAAAACCCATGTTCAACATCAAATAACGTTAGTTTTTAGACTAGATAATGGTTCAAAATAAACATAGGACAAGGAAATTTAGGTAGGTTGATTGATGATTTTTTTGCTTTTTCTTTTTTCTTCCATGTTGCCAATAAATTATTACTAAATTGCTTAAGGCCCAACTAAATATTATCACTTATTATTTTAATATTTTGTTGTAGAATGATTCAACCTACTTTGGAGGCCTAATTGGACGAGTTGCTAACAGAATTGGAGGGGCTCATTTTACTCTAAATGGTATTATATATATGCTACCAGCTAATAATGGGAAGAACACCCTCCATGGTATGTTATATATAACAACATTAATTTTTGTGATATGTAAAATTCTTAGTTATATTTGTTTTTTTGCTTAATTAGATCAATATAACAATTATATATATCAGGTGG